CTCTCCCCGGCCTCTCCCCTGGTCTCGCGCGCTGCCTGAACCCCGGGCGGCAGCGTCCGGCTGCGGGAGGAAAAGTGACTTCGGGAGCCGCAAAGGCGAGGAGAGCAAACCCCCCTCGCTGGCCCAAATCTACGAGTGGCTTCTTCAGCCTGAGAAGCTGTTGAAGCCACTACACTCGATGACTTTCACTTTGTTGCGTTTGACTTATCTCACGCTAAGAAAGTGGGTGGGTGGGGGTCTGAGGTTAAGACTGGCTGCCTTCTCCCCAATCCCCACCCCTTTTCAAAGTCTGCGGGCTGATGCTGACCTAGGAGACCGCTAAGGCCGGGGGTGGGAGCGATCAGGGCGAGCTAGGCTTTGGCTTAGGGGGTGTGGGGGAAGTACGCGGGGTCCTGGGCTCGGGGGAGGGAGGGGATCCTGCAGCCCTCTCTAGGCTCTTTGGCCCCAGGAAGCCAGGGAGCGAGAGTCTTTGGCAATCCCAGAAAACCGTGCCTCCCCCTTCCCTTCCGCTCCCATCCTTTCCGGGCTTCCTGGCCTCTCTCCGGGGACTGGATCCCGGGCCTCCTTCCCTCCAGGGTTCGGCGGTGTGCGGTCCCCGCAGGACAGCCCTGGGCGTGGGACTGGGTGGACTGCTAGGAAGTAGAGGTTTGGGGGTGCGGTGAGCGCCCCGGACGGGAAGCAGGCACACAGCCCCGGGCTCGCCCGGGAAGGGCGCATCCATCTTTCCGGTGGGGAACTGATTCCATCCCACCCTTGTCGCTGGGGGCAGATCTCCTTGGCGGATGCTCGCGCACACTTGGCCACGCGGGGGAGCGTCTTAGGAAGCCTGTAAAACTGGAGGACGAGCCGTTCTCCTCTACCTCGCGGGTTTCTAAAAATACTTGGGGCTCTGTAGCTCAGAGCCCAGCGGGTGCTGTGAGACGCCGGGGGACTGAAAGTCGGCGCATTTGGAAATTGTATCTCTGTTCTCTCCGAAGCTGCACCATCAAGGCTGGGAGTGGTGTGGCAATGAGGAGGCCGGGCAAAGGGAGCGGTCCCAGCTGACTTTCTCGCTCCCTCTAGTTGATGATCAGGTTTAATTCAATATCTAAAGCAAACATGATTATCCGTGCGACCAAATCTGCGCGTCGATAGCACTCAGCGCAGAAGCCCAGGGACGCGATGACACTTTATTCCCGCGTTCCACACCGCCCCTGGATAATTGAGGGCTCGGGAGTCTTTCTAATACCCCAGTAAAGGTCCTTTTTCCCATCTCCAGGCTCATCCTTGGGGAAAGGGCAGTTTTTCTAAATGCTAAAAGGTCTCCCTTTGTTCTCCACACTACCTTGGCAATGTTTGGGGGCTTATGTCTTGCGGTTTCGAAAGGCCAACGAATTTCTCCCAAATAGTTTTTTGTGCAATAATTGAATGCCCAACATGCCCTGGTACTAACCACTCAACATCCACCTACAACTTCCCCTAATCCCAAAATCCTCTGGGAGGAAAGGTGGGGGTTTCAAGTCTCTTGGAGCGGAGTTGTCAGAAGGCCTGAAGAAATTTTGACTCTTCCAGGCCCCAGGGCTTCCAGGGTGAGAATGATCACAAGAGACCCCCAGGTTTCCAGAGAGGAAGGGGGAAGCGTGGAAGGTCCTCACCCTGGCAGGCTTCCACCGCTTGCTCATTGAGGACACATTTGGAGCGGTGGCCAGGACCACGGGCCTGCAATCTGGGTGTGCGCTTCTGCGGCCGGCCGAGAGCCCGGGAGGTGGGCCCGGCGCCCGCCTCTCTCTGTCCTCGGGTCCCCACGGAGTCAATAAAAGCGCCTGCGGAGCCCTGTGTGGCCCTAACCCCAGCGCCCTGGGAGCGCACCCGGCGCGGGGTCCGCTTCAGCAGTCTATCTTCGCCCAATCTACAGCGGGCGGTACAAAACCGCACAATGGGAAAGCTGGGAGCCGGAGATGTTAGAGGCGTGCATATTAAAAAGAGACAGAGAAAGGATCGAGGGGACAGAGAGAGGGGAAGAAGGAGAAGGGGCCCGCCCCCCACACCCCGCCCCACCCCGCACCATTCAGCGCGCTTATCGCGGGCAGTGAATCCCGGAGTCAGGCAGAAGTCTCCTTGGGGTTTTGTTGGGCCTGTCACTGGGTCCCTTTGTCATCCGCGGGCTCCATGCTGGATTCCATATGGCCAGCTGGGCCGAGGGAGCGCGAGGAGGGACCCGCACAAAACCTAAATTGTGTCCGGCTTTCAAACCCTGTATTGTTGTCTGTGAAAGGAAGACGCATTAAAAATTCGTGCTATATCTATTGGGGAGGAGGTTGGAGGAGGGGAGAAAAAGCCACCCCTGTCTTTGATGGCTTCGGAGGGCGCTTGCCCCGCCTAGGCCCCGTGACACTGAAAGCTGGATCTCTCTTATTCTCTCTCTCAAAATCTCTCTTTTTCTCTCCTCTCATAATCTCTCTCTCATAATCTCTTTCTCTACTTTCATAATCTCTTACTCTCATAATCTCTCTCTCTCTCTTCCTCACTTCTCTCCTTCCTTTCTTCTTCTCTCTCCTTGACGCTAACGCTGGGACGGGAGTCCGCGAACCTGCGCCTTCAGGGTTTGGGCTCACTTGTGCCCACTTTGCTCACTCCTGTGTGTGTATCAGGAAACTAACTTCTGCCTGGGAGCTCTGCACCATCGGGTCGTCCTGGAGCTCGGGAGGCAACTCAGGGTACCCAGGGCCTGGGTGATGCTCGGTCCCCTAGGGGCTTAGCGGCTCCTGGGTAGATGAAAATCCAGCCCCCTGATTTCGCAACCCACCGGCCCCGAAGGGCCTGCGCGCCGAGCTGCCCTTCCACTCACCGCGAGAAAGGTTCTGAGAGGCCAAGGGCGCCGCTCAGTCCCGGGCCCAACTATATTTGGGCTGCAGCCTGTTCCAAGGCGACTTGCGCCCGGCCGGGCCACTTCGTTACCAACCCCAGAGAGCTAAAGACGCGCGGGTTCATTTGAATTACGCGCGGGGGTCCATCCCACTGGCCTCTTGGTGCGATGGGAAACCACTTCAGAAACTTCTTCCAACAGCGTCTCTCCCCATGTTGGAGGAGGGAGATACTTCCTCTTTAATTTTCAATGTCTCCTGTATCGTGTGCTTACAAAATTCAGTACCAGGGAGACACAGCAGGGCTTCCAAGGAATTTGCTCATTTTTTGCCTCCTCTAAGCGGTTCAAATTGGCGCGAGGCAGTCGGAAATAATCTGGGTCATGCCTTCTCCCCTGCCATTGCCAGGTCAAAACTCCCATAAGCAGTCCCCAAATAAACCATATGTACTAAACAAAAATAGTTGATGCTGAGCTCTGTGGAAATAAAAAATGGAACCCAGATATGTTCCCCACAAAGTCACTCAGCCCTTAATGAACAGAACTGAGCTGGTGGAAATTCCGACTAATGGGAAACTTGGATGCGCCCCCTTTCCTATTTAGTACAAGGGTCATATTTAGTAGAATCAGATAATTTGGTAAGAGTGGAAGCCCCCCTTCTCAACCTTCCCACCTCAGATTGGGAAATAACTTATTTCCTTACCTATTGACTGTTGAGCTTAGTTGAGACCTGGTGTGGATTTCTCGAGCCTTTTCAAGAGCCTGGTCATTGAAAAGCTAATCCAATATTTACCGAGCATAAGGACAGTTCTCAGACGTATTTATTAAGGCCCATCGCTAAGTGATTACTTGGACTGAAGACAGAGGCCAGGGAGGGGGCGTCTAGGCGCACCAGATCCTTCCCAGTTGGGCTCTCCCCACCCAGAACCAGGAAGCCGGAGCGCGCTTCTGCGGTGCTGACGTTCCACTCCCGGTGTTAAGTGGCGGGAGGATTAGATACTGTGCTGGGCGGTATTTCAGGAAATATGTACTTGTGGCTTCCTGAGAGGCCAGGCGCAGTGACACTCTAAACCGTGTCGATATATCATCTTTTATCCAGGATCTGCAAATAAACCCCTGATCCCCCCGGCGCATTATAGCCGCCGCTATCTCGCCAAGGAAGCGATCTGAGTTTTATTGCTTTCACCAACGCCCCAAGACACACACACACACACACACACACACACACACACACTCCTCTCTCGCACTCTGATTTTTAAAGGTTCTGTTTTTTTCCTCCCGAGGCATCGTTATTAATAAAGAGGCGAACAGGCCTCAGCGCCGCCATCCGAGCAAGCGAAGAAATGCGGGCCTGCAGTCAAGGCCCGCGCGCGGATCCCGCGTCGGCTCCACGCGCCCCCTCGGGCGGGAGAACAGAGCGTGTGCCTCTTGCTGCCGCCACCAGGAGGCGCCCGAGCCCCGCGTTCCCGAGCGTCTCTGCGCGCGGGTCTGGGCCGAGCTCGGGAGCCGCCGGGAAGTAACTGCGCATCAGCGGACTCGCGGCCCGGGTCGGAGCCGGGTGAGTGGTGCCAGGAGGCGGCGGCGACTCGGAATCTTGGGGAGAGCCGCGAGTCAGACGGCGGCGGGTGCGCGGCTGCGTGGGAGGTGCGAGTGGACCTATCTTCTGCTGTGGTTTTCCTACCGTGCCTCTTCTCCACGTGCGTACCACCGCCAGTCCCAGCCCCGGTTTCCATCGTGTTTGGGCGCAGACCACAGCCGACTGGTCCGGGAGCGCTCTGGCCACTGGGAAGACCCCACTAGGCGCCGGGGCGCTTGGTCTCCGCAATCTCAGGGCCCCTGGCGGCGTCGGCCCCGCGGGTGGACACGGGGAGGGCGGTGCTACGAGGGCCTGGAGAGTGGGTGCCCGCGTGGGG